ATTTTTCCTAGAAATGACATATTGGATATTCGTCATGTGACAAAAATGTAACAAAAGTTTAAAAAATTGCAATGCTATTGAGTTCCCACAGTTTGGGCAAAGTCCTAGGATATATTTCCTAATAGGATCCGGAATGTATATGTTTCATGTGTATCTCACTGCAGCTGTACAGAAGCCCTTTTTAGATAGTTTCATAACTATTTTAAATTGAGGATAAGAATCAGGTTTCCTCATGTTTCTGTTCACTTCTCCACCTTCCCAGATATCTCCAATGTAAAACTTGGAGAAGTGATTTTATTTCTCCCTTTAATATTGCTGCCTCTCTTTTGCTTCCTCCTTCTAACTTCTATGAAACTTTTATTGTCTTTATTATCTTATTTAACTTTTGAATTCATAGATATTTGATATGTGGGTACAAACTGTTTTTTTCTCAGTGCTTATGTTTTCCAGGATATCTAATTCAAAAGTATGTGGCCATAAAGCACATTTTTACAAAATAACACCTTGCTCAAATGTTGTTACACTTCACTTCTTAAAACATTAAAGATTTAGTCTGTTATAAAGGCCATATCCTATGGCTGTAAGAAAATCAATGTTTTTTTAAAGGGACACCATATATGTTAAAAAGTAAATTGACTTTTTCATGGCTTTGTCAATTTCATGACACTTTTGTTCAATTCTATTTGGTGAAATAAGTTTTTGTACCTGTTGAGCTGCTCTGTGAAAACTCGTTCAGTGGTTACTAATGATTGATTAGCCCACGTTTTGGGGGCTATCCTTGAATTTGTAGCAGCATTGAAAATTATGTTTTTTCCAACACATCTGTTACATGAGTCAGCTTTTAGTTCTTGATTATGGGAATCTCAGAAACCATTTGACTGGGTTCAGGTTATCTGTGAATTTTCATATTATTTTATGGCCACCGGCTGCATTTTATGACTGTATACTAAATGTTTTGTTTTTTTTTCAAATAACTTTTCCAAGTGGTCTCAGTTTTGCATCCAAAGGAAATAAGGCATATGCACAAACATCTACTGTTCTGCAAGTTACAGCTAGTACAAAACCCCAAATAAACACAAAAGATACGAATATAAAACCTTAAAAAAAAAAAGGAAGAACAGTTTGGCCAAAAACCTACCTCCCTGACCTTTCACTATATCTCTTCTGAACAGGACATGCCTTCAAATTTTAATTGGAACCTTTTTCATAATTGTTGTCATTTAACACATTTAGTCTGTCAAATCGTGAGATGTCTTTATAGCCATATAATAAACTCTAGAGAACAACTTCTCTGACTGTAGCCATCTGCAGTGATCACAAGAGTAGCTTACAAAATACTGACAGTCTTTATGGTAATAGGATACATATGGCAGCCCACAATTACGTGTAGCTGCATTCAATTAGTGTTGTACAATTACACAGTTTTATTGCTTAGTTAAAACAGTGAAAGCACTACATACTGGGTAATTTGCACTAATCCCCATCTCTTTAATTGCCCCTCAGTGTTTAAAATGAAGGGGACCATCTATAGTATTTAAAGGCCCTGGAATGAACATTAAATTGTATCTCATGTTTGAACACTTTTTGACTGACAATTAATGTACTCCCACTTCACGTGTGGCTCATGTTTTACAGAGACTTTAAAATACAGTTATAGCAAAAAGTTTCTCTTCCACACTCAGTGGATCAGGCTGTCCTAGTCTGGACTTGCAGCCTACTAATACCTACTAATATTCTTTCTGAAAGGTGATCACAGTGAGGAGAAATGTTGAGAAACAAAGAATCAATTTCAAAAGTCATACAAGCCAAGAACTCAGTAGGTTTTTTTTAGGCATCTTTAATTTCTTTTAAGCATCTCAAGCATAGTATGTCCATAACCATTAAGAACTCAGTATTTTAAATGGTAACTTGTAAGAAACCTTTCTGACTTCTAACTTTTAATTAAAAACTTAGTTCAGTGAATTTATAGCTGCCACTTAGGAAAATACTTTGTAGAGATGGTTTTGTGAGGGTGGGTGTGGGTGTGTGTGTGTGTGTGTGTGTGTGTGTGTGTGTATGCTTGAAGTAGTTATATTAAGCAATCTGTGACTTTTTTTAGCTAAGTTTTAATTACATTTGCCAATGTTGCCCCTCTGCAACTCTCTGTAAGAGAGAAGGGTGAGTGTAGCTCAGGTTGCAGTGGGCGCTACTGGTGAGCCTGGGATGTGAAACAACTCATGCCACTGAGGAAAGGGGGCTCTTCCACCGGAGGAGAAGAAACACTGGAGTATATTCACCTCCATCCTTCCCAAAGTGCTGACAGAGAAAACCCCAAAGTAGTCTTGTTTCCTGCCCTGCCTGACAATAAGTTCAATAGAATTCCAAACTAGAGGCCTGGACATTCATTCACCTGCAAAACATTTTGTTGAAACACTTCTAATGTTCTTGTGTCTTGAAATGTTTTCGATTACATGGAATAGGCCTTTGTCTCTAAGCCCTTTCTGTCTCTCCTAAGATTCACTTAAGCCTCTTTATATTCAAGAAAATTTTACAAAAAAAAAGGGGAAGAGGGAGAGATATAGTACAAGTGACTAGATATAAAAAAGGAATATTAAAATTATAGATCCAACATATGTAAATGCTTTGGGTTTTTAGAAGTATAATTATTTTTAGGTACTCCTCATTTTCTTTATTTTAGTAGCATTTTTAGTGCTTTCTTTGTCTTTTGTTTATTTTGTGATTCTGGGGATAGAATCTAGGATCTCATGTTTTTCTTAGTTATAAAAAGTTCCAGCAATATTGTTCATTTATATTAAATATAATTTGCATATGGCTATATGTTCGATGGATTTCTAATGAAATATTTATGCTCATAAATAAACCCTTGCTACATGTGAGAGGATTATGTGGTACATTCAGAACTGTAATGGACTTAATGACTATTCTCCAACATCTGGTTTTGTCAAACTTTTGAATAAAGTTAGGTGATATGGACATTATGTTTAGAAAAAAGCTATAAAATTCCTGCATAAGTGGGGTTGAAATAGATCAAAATCTATACAACTTCACAAAGCACACATCATGAATGTTTGGACCTAGCAGAACATCAAAGCTAGAGGTTACTTTATATTTTAGAAAGCTTATTGGTAACAAAATGGAATTAAGGAAGTAAACAATTCTGCTCTATCTAGGAAATAAGCTAGACAGCCAATCTACTAGATGTTTTCATCTCATATTTCTTTTCATGAAAAACATTTGCTTGTTGTTTAGATGACCAGAATGGCTGGCACAATTGGACTACAATTTAGTGATTTCTTTGAGTTAAGAACATGTAGGCTGGGGACAGTACTGTGCTTTGCAGCTCTGATGACTTAAAGTCTTCACTCAAACCTGTATATGGCAACCAGGGCTTCACAGCTGATTCATTAAGTAAGAGGACAATGTTCACCCCAGTTGACAGCCAGACACATGGCTACCTTTACCCTAACAACCCAAGTGCAGATAATTCCCCAAGTCTTTGGATGCCTACCCCAGGTAGCCCAAACTTAATCAAGATCCAGAGCCCTGAGGAAGTAGACACCATGTTATGAGTGTGGACAAGATGGAAAAGAATTATGTCTACTCAGAAAAGTCACAGTCTCACCAGAGAAGAGGATCTGACTGCCTTTTCCTGCAAAAACAGTTGGTTCCAAATGGTCATTCCCAATACTGCAGCTTAGCTGGCCAAACATTTATACTTTCTGCTACAGTGAAATGCAAATTTAATCTACTTTTTCCTAAGGCAAGAAGACATGGTGTGTGAATGGTAGCAGTGCTCCTGATGTGTGGAGATGTGTCTTGCTGTGCAAGAAGCTCAGAATGCTTCAGCAAGTAGCATGTGATCAAAGAGTGAGAACAGAAGAACATGCAAGCCCTAACTTGCTGGATGAATTATTTTGATGTATGTGGAAAACTTTGCCATTTCTTTGGAGGCATCTCTTGAAGATTGCCCTGGCTGGAAATGCTAGAATTAGAAATTATTTTGGTTTGCTTTTCTTTATCGTATTGATTCCAGGAGAGGGTACTGAATTAGAATTCTGAGTGCCCTTTATCCTGTCTTTGAAATCAACAAAGTGGTTTAAGACACTTTTTTAAAAGCATATTCATTTAGTATGATCATGGGCTAGAATCAAATGAGTGTAAATACTTGCCTAGAGTCACAGGCATCCTTGTTTTGATTTGTTGGGTGAAAGGCTGGAAACTTTAACTGCCTTAATAAAGAAACCTGGACTGAATGCTGACTTTGCACCTGATAAATCTTTCCAAATTGCCACAGGTGAAAGGAAATGTTAATATCCCTTTCAATTATTAATAAAACATGCAAATAGATCTTGTCGGAAACGTGGGGCACTGAAAATGAAGTATTTTAATATGTGCATAGATTTTTTTTGTTCGTTTACTAAAGAACCACGTGTCTAAAGCGTCTCTCATTTTGGAATGAAGAAGTAATTATTTTCATAAATTTCAGATACTGCACTAAAGTTTTCTATGCTTTATTTTATTATGCAAATCAATTTTAATTATAGAAAACATCAACTACTGTGAAAAAAGGGGAAAAAATTCCATAATCCTGCCACCCAGAGACAGACACACCAACACTGTTTCCTTTCGGACTTTTGTACTTGCACGTATTTTTCCCTTTAATGGACATTTCATAAGGTCAATCTGAAATCTGCTATCCTTACCTCTCAAACATAATTCATTTCAATAAATATAATCCCACGTCACCACTTTAAGGGTCATGCACATCCCTATGTATGAATGTACCATCATTTACTTAACAGATTTCCATTTCTAGTTGTTTGCTGTTTCCACTTTTACAGCAATCCAAAGAAAGATACTCTGCATACATCCTTATATTGTTGTCTGATACTTTTTACTTTATGTGCATTAAATTTAAATCACAGTGCCCCCTCATTTCTTCAGGGAATAGTTTTGAGCTATTGGTTTTAAGGCAATTGTATTTTTTGCTTTTATTTTAGGTATATGAACACCAAGATGGCAGCAAGTCTCTGAAACTGGGTGACTTTGGACTGGCCACCATTGTGGATGGCCCTCTGTACACAGTTTGTGGCACCCCAACATATGTAGCTCCAGAAATCATTGCAGAGACTGGGTAAATGCTTCTCCTATATATTAATGCTACATTTGTGAAAGAACTAGGCTCCTTCAAGAATAAGATACATAGTACTGTGCTGTCCTGCCCAGACAGAAGTATCAGATTTCTTTCACTTTTTTGGCTTGTTTTTACAGTGGGAGCCATTTCCTCTGTTTTCTCAATCAAGTTGCTATTTAACTGTAGTCTTGTTTAAGGCTTCCATTTGGCTTTTGTTAAAGGTAAAACAGAAGTTATTAACCACAGAGTACAAAATGGACTAATAGAGAAACGCAACGATGGTAATTAACTCACTTTTCAAGATAAAAGAAACAGACACTGCTGTGTGTGCCTGTGGTTATTTCTCTCAACCACTCTTCTCCTGTCCTGGTTCCATTTTGGTTCTCTTGGAGATCCATTGATTTTGCATGGAGTGCAAATACCCTTAGGCATCACAGGGATATTGGATATTGCTAGTTTCTGTGTGCAGAATCAGATGAATGAAAATCTCTACCTTAGAATGGAAAGAGAAAGTGGCCTAACCTGTTACTTACTAAGGACCTACTATCTGCCCAGTCTTACACTCATTTACTTAATTGTTACTCTTTCAGTAAATAGTGCTATTTCCATGTTGCATTTGAATACACTAAGACCCTAAGCTGATGTGTAAAGTATCCCATAATATCATGACCACTTAATGGCTGAGCCAATATTTGAACTCAGGTTGGCCTGGGACAAAGGCTTGTTAGTAAAGAGTCTATTTCTTACTAAGAGCCAGAGCCAGGACTCTGGAGTACTGTTCTTCCATATGAGGAACGTTGAGAGTGGGGTGGGGAAGGGAGATGGCACCATTTTCTTTCCATTAGCAATTTCAACCTACACCTGGAGATCCAGATGGCATCCTCTACTATGACCTGTTGGAGATAGTTTTTCAGCTGGCACCATATACCCAAAGGGCAGAAAGACAGAATATATGAGAAGGGAACCTCAACAGGGAAGTCCTTAGGATGAGATGTAAGAGAATAGGGACTTCTTTTTCTCAAATTTGAGTTATTTGGCAGCCCACATACCTACCTTTGCCTGACCTCCTTCAAATAAATGGTGCTACTTCTGCCCAGCCATATTTCCTGCCAGGACACACCATGACAGCCTACTGGGAAGAGTGTGATGGGATGGAAAGAGGATTTGGTTGGGCTTTTGAAGATCTTGGTTGAAGTCCAATTCTGTCACTAAGTAATGGTGCGATCTTGAGAAAAACTACTCTCCCTCTAAACCTCTATTTTTTCTTTTATTTTATTATTTTTAAAAAATTTATTCATATGTCCATACATTGTTTGGGCCATTTCTCCCCCCTTCCCCCCACCCCCTCAATTTTCTCTTTTATAAAATAGATAAGTATTACTTGTCCTGTCCAATCTACAAAATTGTTGAGAAAAACAAAATAAGACTACATGTCAGTGCTTTATAAACTAGAAAATTACCTTGAAATAATTACTATTTCTAAAACTAGGGAGTTAGAAAGTCCAAAGGGTCCATCCCTATCTCAAAATTAATATGATTATAATAAACCTTTTTTTCTGAAACCCCTCACTTACTGATATTTTGATATGAGCCCAGGTTTGCATTACTTTAATTTTTATTCAGGTGTCTTACAAAATCTTTAAATTTCTATTTATCCTTACCTTGAACTATTTAACTGGTGGCTTTTAGTTTGGTGTTTTAGTTGTTAGGTTTTTAAATTTTGTTTAGTTTCGTTTGGGGTTTGTAATGGAGGAGCCATCTATTTTAGCATGCCCTATAATTTGTCCTGGCTGACTTTGCTAACTCTAACATCACTTATTTTTCCAGATATGGCCTCAAGGTGGACATCTGGGCAGCTGGTGTAATCACTTACATCCTGCTGTGTGGTTTCCCTCCATTCCGTGGGTATGGGCAGCAATTTTTTATTCAGCACCAACAAAGCATTTCTCTATCCTCTGAATGATCCATTTGCCTATCTTACACAAAGGAGCCTGTAGCAGGAAAAGAACATAATAAGAACTTCACTTGCATTGCCTGTTCTTTTTCTGCATCATGCATACTAATTTACATGCTTTCCATAAATCTTCTTCATACAGTTCTAAAACTCATTCTTTCTTAATTTACCAAAAACAGTTGCATGTTGACATTTTCAATGACTTTTAAAACACATGTTTTGCACATTTATGGGGAAATGAAGGGCTCTGATGCACAAGAATAATAAGACATGCCCTGAGCTGACATGTCAGTGCTGTTTTCTCCTTGTCATTCATCTACACAGAAGTGGCGATGACCAGGAGGTGCTTTTTGACCAGATCTTGATGGGGCAAGTGGACTTTCCTTCTCCATACTGGGACAATGTTTCTGATTCTGCAAAGGTAGGTTTCTAGTGCCTTCTGTTTCCATCCAACCTGGTTGTCTTAAAAGAATTGTTATTTCCAAATCATTGTGTGCAAAGAGACTAATGACATCATAAATGTGATTTCAGTATACACTTGAGATGTAGTTGCTGGGTTTTTCAGGTTTCACAGACATCAAGCCATCTGTTCATGGTCATCCCAACAGATGCTCATTAAGTATCTCTACCTTTTGTTACTCTAGCCACATCATGATGACCTCTTTGTGCTCACCTCACCAGGCTTGAGCCCACCTTAGAATTCTGCATGGCATATTGCTTCACTTCTTTCAGGTCTTGACTTAATTTCATCTTCTTGGTGAAGTCTTCCCATACCACCCTGTTGCAGCTCTTAAGCCATACTTACCATGCTTTCTCCTCCTTGTGTGATTTGCTATGCCCATCTGGTATACCATAGGATTACCTATCTATAGTTACCTACCTACATAGATAAATAGACATATAAATAGGAGGTTAGGTCCTATTTATGTGATTTATTTCCAAACTCTCCCCTCTAGAATGCAAATTCTGTGATAGCAAGGATATTCATGTACTTCAGTTATTGCTATATCACTAGTGCCTAAATCATTGCTGGCACATAACTAGTGATCGATAGGTATTCAGTAAATGAGTAATACATGAGCAAGTCAATCAAGCAATTAATAAAAGGAAAGAAAGCTCAACCTCAGCATAGATTGAAATGATCCAAAGACCCCCAACTTTATGAGGAAGCCATGATTTATGTTCAACCTTGAAGGATAACTGGGGTTTAGACACAGGAGGGAACAAGACATATGGTTTTTATCCCACAAAACTAAAAGATCAACCCTAAAATGGATGGAAGTAATGGTGGCCCAAAAATGTGAGTGTACCAAATATCAATAAAATATTCACTTAAAAATAAGAAATGTAATTTTTAGGTACATTTTACAGATAATAATAAATCATCAGATAAGAATTAACTATTAAAATCTTACACTGAGATATCAGTAAACGTGAGGAACAAAAGGAATTAATTATTAAAATCTTACACTGAGATATCAATAAATGTGAGGAGCAAAAAGAAAATCTTTCAATTTATCACTTTTAAATTTATGTAGGTTGAACGACCCTAAATTGAAATTCCAAAAGCTGAAACTTGTTAAGCACCAATATGACGTCACAGGTGGAACATTCCGTACATTACCTTACCTTAGGTGAAGGGTCACCTTCAAAATACAGGCAATGCAAAATCTAATTAACCTATCTTCAACGCATCTGTAAAAGATTATATGATAATCTAGTATATGCAATACCAAAAATCCAAAAAAATTGACCGAACCACTTCTGGTCCTAAGCATTTTGAGTAAAGGATATGAATCTGTATCATTCTCCAAGCACTGACTTAAAGTTTTGAAATTTTGATGTTGAAAATAATCATCTTTGGGTCACTCAGTGTGTACGACTTTCCTTTTTGCGTCCTGGTCGATTCAATTAAAAATGCAACCTCTTAGACATAGAAAATGGTGCATAGAAAATGGTGTGTATTGGGCACAAGTTTCTCATTTATTTGGCAGTTCAGGAATCCACCTGTGGATTTAGGAAACTGTAGGGAATTGACAAAAGTGTCAGAGGAAAGGCCCAAAGTGAAAGGAGCTGGAATGATACAGCTATAAGGAAGGGCAGAGCTATTTTGACCTCAGATTAGGCTCTTTAGGAACCTACCCAACTCTTAATGTCATCACCCTATAACCTGAGAGCTCAAAGTCACTAACAAATAAGACCGTTTCCTGTATCCCCACAGAACCTGGAAAAAGGCATCACACACAGTCATTGTTTAAATACCTCTTAGTCCAAGTGAGAAAGTGAATGAAGCTTTTACAATGGAACAATGTCATCCATCCATGTGGTACTCAGAGCTGTTAACATAAGAAATGAATACTGCATTAAACTCTCATCCAAAAAACAGACGCATGACAAACTCTTCATGAAGACCCAAACTGTGCTATCCTGGTCCAAATCACTTTGAGCTCATGGGAACATTCCTTCATCTCAGAATCATCAAACCATTTGATGAGTCTATGTAATTCTATTCTTTTTCTATTGATAAGTAACTTTCTATTGGAAAGTTTTGAGCAATTAACAATGCCTTAGAATCAGTTACTATGAGAATAGTCTCTGGTTGTGGAGGTAGCCTCAGTAAAAGTGTGTCATACTGAGGTCCTGATTCATCCCCAAAACTCCCCCCAAAGTCTGTTTACCAACTAATTATTAGATCTCCGTCTCCTCATTCCTTCTCAAACCTAATATTCCGTCTTGGAAATTGGGAGGAAAAGATCCATTGTTCTTTCATCTGCCAAACTGAAAATTCAATTAAAGTGTTTTTTAAATCAACCTTCTATAAACTAAGTTAGAAAACGTCTTTAAATGTAAAGTCTTTCCTAACAAAGAAAAACTACAATCTATAGTTGTGCGGTTTTTTCTTTCCACAAATATTTTATGAAATGTTTGATATTTCTTTTAATTTATCAATGACAAGCGGCAATATTAATTGAAATCCTTTTTTTTTGCTTGAACGGGATTGACTCAGGGCGTCACATTGAGAAGCAACACCTAACTGCTAACCACCTCATTCGTATATTTATAATTCCAAAAGCTCACCTTTCCTTCAACTTTTGAAAGTGTTATTCAGGTAGTCACAGGTAAGTGGAATTGACATAGTTAAGATTTAGAGCTTTTCCAAATGCTTGTCTAAACTAAAAAATATGCCAACATGCAAGCAACCGTTGTTCATCTCAAGTCAGACAAAGGAAGGAAAGTTTCTCTTCTACAGAGCCATTACCATAATCCCGTTGTCATGTGGATCAGCGATTTTCAGCTATGCAGTCCCGGAGCACCCGGGTTAGAGTAAGGACTACTCCTGTCTAGACTCACTCCTAACAGTCCTTTAAAAAATTGTTTGCAGATTTCCTAATGATATCACTTCCTTTTAAAAGTGCTGTGTTTGGGTTTGTCTCTCCCAAAAAATGTGCCAGTTAGAGGACCCTACATAGAGGATCCATGAGGGCATTTGATGTGTCCATTTCATTTGATTCCCATAGGAATGCCTTCCAACTGGGAGATGCATACGGTCCTTATCTTCCTACCCCATAACTTGCTATCGAAGGTCCAGATTGGTGCTGAATCATCATCAATAAGGCAAAGATCTCTGAGATGGTCCTGCTTTTATGTTATTCCTACCGGAAGCACAAGTAGCCCAAGGACTTCTACCTAAACCTTGGAGCACTTCAATGAAGCATTTCTCAAACTTGACTGTGCTTGGAAGGGCCCTATAGATCTCCCTCAGTGCAGACTACAAGGTGGCAGGTTTGAAGCTGTGCATTTCTTTTTAAGTTCTGGAATGCTGCTTCTGTGCTGCCATTGAAGTTCAAGAGTCCAGTGACATTTCTTTAGCAATGGAAAATTCTCCAGAAGAACCATTGTTTTAATCCTATCTCTCTATACAACTTACTGACAAGATTTGATTTGATGAATAATAATTAATACTTGTAGAGTGCATAACTTCAAGAGTCTGCTAGCACTATTCTAAGTACCTCACACACATTAACTGATTGTGTTCTTCCCCACAAGTTTATAACCTTCAAAACTAGTTGCTGTAGTAATCCCTGTTGACAGCTGGGGAAGCGACATAACTAGGTCGAATGGCTCTTAACTGCCAGAATGGAAGACAGCTACAGGTTTGGATATAGAAACAGATATGGGCATAAAAATGGACAATTATAAAATTGTTAGCCCACTGACACACAGACTCCCCATTGTCCTGAGTGATGTGGGTATACACTGAAGGGGAAAAAAAAGTTTCCTTTTCTCTGAATTGTTATTGTTGCCTTGGTGAGCAGTGAAGTGGTTTCTTTCTAAAATCATTATGGAGGACCAGAATGATGGCAGGTTAGTTGAGCTGGTTAGAGCATGGTGCTGAAAGTACAGTCAACATGTGAGGTGACAGGAGCTTGGGATCTGATTGATGTTCTGCCACTTTGTGGGCCTAGGTTGGAGCACTTTACACACTTGAACCAGAATCTTCACAGGTTACTTGCAAGGTTTATATTTACATGACAGGAGAATACAAGTCAATACGAGCACAAAAAGGTGCAGCTAAGGTTCAAGTCTTTCATATGGCCAGGGTCCCACCTGGTGTACAGATGTGCACAGATGTTAATCACCCCCCTTGAGATAATGGGGGAGGGCAGCTCATGTCCCAGGGTCCCAGGGTGGTCACCTTGAGTCTCAGCAACCTTTGCATTTTCCCCAGGGTGCTAAGCAAAAATTATCTTTTCCTATGAAGTGGGAAAGTGAGAAAGTATCTGTCTTGAGACTATTAACAAGCCTGCAAGATAGGCAGTGGAGACATAACTATACCTATCTTACAAACAAGGAGGCTGAGGCTGTGGAGGGTGATTTGCCCAAAATAGCTACATTTGCAGTTAAGCCAGAGTCTGTAGCCATATATCTTTAATCCAAGCTCAAAGGCTTTGAAGTCCTGTGCAGCACACTACATCTGTCCTCCCTTTGTCATACACAAAAGCACTGGGAATATTGAAAAGGGGTGCAGTGTGGACCTCAGCCTGGCTTTAGTGGTTGTTAGTACAAGTTAGCTAACTTTCGAACTAATTGACCTAGGTCATGGAGCCTTTCTCTTGGTATGCAGGAGGGAAGAGCCACAACCAGCTGCAGGCTGTCTTGGTGGTAGCAGTTGATTCTGTCTGATCTACATGAGCTAATGAAATGCCCATGGGCCACAGCTTGTCAAATTGCATGTTAGGCCTGGAAAGAGAGACAGGGTGACCACACAGAATAAACAGGAAAGTCTGAATTGGAAATGTGGCTTCCAAGGCTTATAATGAAATACAGCCATTTTAGATGCATAAATACATTTTATTTTCACTGCCTGACAGACCCATCTTCCAGGAGTAGCTTCAGATACAACCACCCAGATGCAGCCAG